CGATTGAAGTAGAACTTCTTCATCGACGGTTAGCGTCGCAAAAGAAATATTTCGTTCCGAGAGAGAAAGACTAAATTACTTGATGATTCGATGAAGAGAACGAAAATTTACCTCATGAGGCGGGAAGATACCGGAAAATAGCAGAGTTGTTGATCGGCGTAGAACTGCTTCTTCTAGGGTTAGCGTCGCAGAGAAGCGTTAAACGGAAGACACAACGAATTGGCGGTAGAAAGAAATTAATCAGATTTTAATTCTAGCAGATCATAAAAAGTGAGGATCAGGTCCAATGGGTTTGACAGTCAGACTTATTCTCCTTAGGCCCAATAAATTCTTTCTAGCCCATGAAGCCCTTTTCAATAATTCAAGGGCAAAAATCACCATTTGGCCCCTAAACTTTCTAAGTTTGAACCTAGATTTCCTCAGACTATAAAGTTGTAACTTTAAGCCCCTTAACCTCATGGGTATGTTTTTCACTTTAGCTGTCATGTTGGATTGTGAAGAAATAAAATATAAAATTTAAATTATTACCCTATGACATTATAAGAATTGGCTCCATCTTCTTCATCATCCATTCAATGTAATCTACATCAAAATTTTTTCCTTCCATTGATAAATCTCCTATAAAACATTCTCAAATTATCATGGTAATTTAAAAATAAAATCATTTAAGAAAACCCAATTTGGGTTCTCTAGAACCCATCTAGAGGAGAACTTGATTTGGGTTCTTTAGAACCCAGTCGACTTCTTTAGAGGAGATTAATGGGTTAATGAAAGAGGAAGAGAAGGAGAGGAGATGAGAGAGAGAGAGAAAGATGAGCAAAAGTGATGAATGTAGTGATGAAATTTTAGAATTTTGATGTTGGTATTGATCAAAGGGAGGAAGGGTGAGATTTTAAAATTTGAAAACAAATTAAAGGCAAAGAAATAATTTTAGCTAAATAAATAAATCTTTAATGTGATATTGAGGCACACTTATGAGGAATATAATTGATGAATTGTGAGGTGATATGGCAAATTTGGATGGAGAGTAATGGGGCACATGAGGCATGTGCATTTACCATTAAATTGGTGTTAAAGCTACACACTTTTAAGATTAAGGAGCTTAAAGTTACAACTTTATAGTCTGATGAAATCTAGGTTAAAACTTAGAAAGTTGAGGGGCCAAATGGTGATTTGTGCCATATATAATTCAATTAACCTCCTCCAAATTTGAAGGGTGAATTTCGATTTCATCCATAACCTTTCAACTTGGAGGCTTGATTACATAATAGTTACAAAATAAGGAACTGAGGATGCTTGAACGTGACGATGGTCTCCACTCTCCAGGACAACAATTGTCAATCTATAGAAGAAAGCAACAGTCTATATTTTTGCCTACAGTTGGCGCAAACCTTCCCTTATGGCTGGTAGACAATTCTTCTCTTGAACAGTAGTTAGGGCTGTTGGGATACCCAACTTCAAGTAGAGTGTAGCCCCTGAAAATTGTGAGAAACATGAAACATCTTGTCTCTTAGAGGGATTGATATACGGTGCAAATGTACTGGACTCTGAGTAATTCTTATTGGCATTTGGCAATTATTCCAATAAGAAGCAATAGTGGGTTGGTTGAATTGAAGTGTATGTATATTTTCTTTGAATTTAGGTGTATAAATGCAATAACAAGTTTTGTATGCTTCGCCAACTACAAAGGCAAAGCCTCTTACTCCAAGTTATCTGTGGATCTGAAGTGTTTTAAAACATATAAAGTACAACTGTTTAGTATTATTCTCCTAGTTCTTTTTTAATTACCTTGACCTAACTTCTTACCATTATTATCTCAATACATTTTCACTTGTCATGACTCCATCTTTCATTACACTATGATCAATTGTATGTGGTGTAGATAGCAGTGGTCTAAATAAGAGCAGGGTCCATCTTAGTTCCACGCCCATTGTGACAGGATCCATAGCCTATATAAGCTTAAGCTATTGTCCTCGTCCAAATAACAGCTGTTGGGCCAGCCATATATGTGTGCAATGAATGGGCCATAGAACATTCAATTTCAATATTAATTAAAAAAATAGAAGAAAAGAGGAATTAAAATTGTGAAGGCGAAGCAGGCGAAGATCGAGCAACAGTGGATTGTTGTAGTCCAATATTAATGTTGGGGAAGGGACATATGATGTTTCTCCCCAAAAATCCTATCCTATTCCAACAATGATATATTAATCCACAGGACTTCTCTTTGCCATTTCTTCTTCATGTATGTATGCAATGTACATGTATTTAACATATATCACATGGGTACCAATTAACAATGGCAACGGGTCTCATAGATTAGTTGTTAGGTGCTCCCAATGCTTTATTAATAATTGAGATTCGAGTCATGGTAATGTCATGTTATTTCTCATCCTCCTACCTCAAATTATACTTGTTCAAAAAAAAATAAATAAATAATGATGAAGATGGAAATGATGATGACCACTTTAAAATGAAAAGACTCCCCCAGGCCCCAACATCTTTTTCCTTTTTCTATTTCTTGACTTTCAATTATATATATGTATGTTGTTTTTGTTGTTTGTAATTATATGCAAGTGGGGGGCAATGATATTTAATTAGTTTATATTTCATTTCATCACCCTAACCCTAACCCTAACCACTCCAAATTACGATCCTCTCATTGGATTATTTAATTGGTCATATATCCTGACATGGCTGACGTGGCAATGTAAAACAAAGCATGCCCAGCATTT